CAGGAAATTATGGAGGGTCAGACAATGTGATTGTCAGACAATAATAATTTAATAACCATAGACAGGACTTGACAAACGGTGGCAAAAACCGCTTGCCAGCCCCGTACTGTGCATGCGCAAGAGCCACATTGCGCATGCGCATGCCGTGAATGAACGGGGCACGTGGCTGAAATCTACTCGCCATGTGCGAGTAGATTGTATAGTTTGTTGAGCCCTGACCATAGATATTGAGATTAAAAAAGTTAAAACTTTATAAATGTTAAAACACAAAGTGCCAACATCACACGTCAACATTTTTGCCTTAATTCAAACTCTAAAAAGTTCTCAAACAGCATTTTTCCTACTTTGCCAATCTATAAATTTCTATTAATATGGATGGAAATATATTTTTGTCATTGCGTGTGTATGCGTGTGGTGAAATTGACATTTATCAACATTTATTGATAAAAATCTAATCCTTCCAAGCCTAGTTAAGTGTCAGTGAGAGATTATATTTCTGAGCTACTCAAATCCAATGTGCATAGAAGTGGATAACTAAAATGCATATGCTTAGACTATCTATTACCACCAGACTCAATTTCATTTTTCAAGTTATGAATGCAGAAAGTAGCAAAGACCAAAAAGAAAGCTGCACAACATATTTTATTCTTTGGTTGGTTGTCCTAGTATTCAAAGCTACACATAGATATTACCCAATAAGAAAATTACAAGCACCTTAGCGGTCAGTGATTTTGTATATGATGCACTGCAAATCTTCCTAGAGCCCCAAACAAGCAAAACACTAAAAATGCTTTTAAAGGCCAATGGGAAAACACCTGCTTAAAGGGATGCACATGCTTAAATGATTTGCCAATAAAACTCTTATTCACTACGAAGACTTCTTTTTTCCTCAACTAAATCTGAAATTTTACTGCAACGTGTTGACTGGAAACAAGTGTTCATTGAAAGTAAATACTTGAAATCCAAACCCAAACACAATTTCTCTGTACAGTTCAACCTGAGCTTTTGTCCCCTCCAAGTAATAGTTTCCTCCTTTCACAATAGCAAGATTCTAGTCACCACAAGATTCCCTGTCTCCCTCATACTTTTGTAACTTATAATGTCATGAGCAGCTACTTGTAAAACAAACTTCTGAATACATGTTGGCACGTGTAGCACCTATAAATCATGCTGTAGTCCCTAATAAAGTGACATAGAGTGTGGGGAGGGGTGAATCTTTGGCCAGTGCGCCACACATAGTTTATCAATTAGTTGTTGGCAGGCTGCCAGATGGTTCGTTTACTTGAGGATCTGCAAGCATAGAACTCTGCAGCTCCCATTGGCCACAGTTTGCTGTTCTTAGCCAATGGGAGCTGTGGGAAGTGGCGTGGGCCGGGCCACTGCTTCCTGTAGCTCCCATTGGCTGAGAACAGCAATTTGCAGCCAACGGGAGCCGTGGAGCTCCACGCCTGAGGATGCTCCAATAAACAACCATGACAGAACGTGTGTGGACCGCAGGGTTCCCCAACCCTGCTCTATGTCACTTTATGAGCTGGTCACTATGTCAGGGAAATGGTGCAAACTGATGAAGATGCAGATTAATGAGCTAACAAAGGAGCACAGAAAGATGCTAAATGAAGTGTGGAGTATGGAACACAGTAAGTGTCATCATGAACTTTAGAGCAGTAAGACAAGTAGGAAAATAGAAAAAAAAAAGATCCCCCCCCATAGTTGTAAACAGATCCCATAAATTAGAAGGTGTTCACTGCATTAACGGATCCTGAAATTATTATAATTCAAATATTCTTAGGCCAGAAGTGATCATTGTGATCATCTAACTTGGTGTGACATCCTGTATAAAACAGACCATAAAACTCACCAGAATAATTTTGAGAGCACTTTTTTTATACCCTCCCCACCATCCCATCTTGATTTAAAAACTGTCAGCGATGAATCTACCAACAACCCTTGGTAAATTTCTCCAATGGTGAACTACTTTCACCTTTACAAATATACTCTCTATTTCCAGTCTCAATTTGTCTAGGTTCAGCATTCAGCCGTTGGATTGTGTTATACCTCTGCTAGATTGCAGAGTCTATTATTAAATATTTGTTCCCCATTAAGATGCTTATAGATTGTAATCAAGTCATCCCTTAACCTTCTCTTTGATAAGCTAAATAGATTGAGCTCCTTGAGTTTGTGACTGTACAGTGTGTCTTCTAATCCTTTAATCATTCATGTAGCTTTTCTTTGAGTTCTGTGCAATTTATCAATGTCCTTCTTCAGAGCACTGAAGCAGTATTGGTTAAATTCTGCCACTTTTACTCATGTTGGTTCTGCCACTTTTACTTATTCCACAAAGTGCTCCACTGAAATTAAAGGGACAAATTGTGGAGGAAGGTAGCCTTCCAATGTAGCCTTCTCTATATGAGTGGTTTAAACTGTTAGATTGAATAATGTTATTGTAACAGGGACCATAAGTACAAAACAAGACATTGGAGATGGCAAACCAGGTGGGAAAGCAAGATGTTAAAACTAGCAACAGATGGCTTGAGAACTGGAAAAAGCATTACTTTATAACAATCCAAACACAGCGTGATGAGGCCGATGATGTCTATGAGGGTGAATTCTTTACCGACCAAGATCTGGTTTTTGTTATCAGTCCAAGAGCATATGGAATAGAGATGAAACAGGATTGCTTTTCATTGGTTTACCATAAAAACCATGGAAGCAGCAGACTTTTAGTAACTGGAACGTGTACTTAGGAGTGGAAAGCGTCAAAAGAAAATCTAATGGTTGTAGCACTTAAAATGAATCTTCATGATGAAAGGGATTCATGATGCCTGACAGTTCTTCTTTTAAGAAAATGTGCTAACAACAAAAAGGAAAAGGAATTGAAATTGCAGCTGCTGACCATGTAATAACAGGAGGTGGGGGGATGGGAAGAGTTTTCTTTGTACTGCCCTGAGGATGATTACAGTGGAAATATTGCTGTAGTAGCTACACTTCAAAATTAAAATGCTATGTACAGATGCAATATCACAATGTAAATGAAGAACAAGTGACAACTGCTCTTTCTGACAGGCACCATCAACAGAAACATAGACCTCCCACAAGATTCAATTTATAATTAAAATTACAAGAGAAGGGTGCTGTGTAAATACCAATGTGAGATACTTTTATATTCTGCAACTATGATTTTAAGCCCTGGATTTCTGAGTCTGATGGAGTTCCAAATGAGTCAGTTATAGCCCAGCTGGAAATGAGCTTACCTATACTGAATGGTTAAACAATGAGGTCCAACAGAGTTCAAAATTAGGCAGAAGTCATTCACCTATTCTGGCTGGAATATTTGAATCTCTGAATACATTCTTCTCAAGGCAACTGTGCCAAAATACTGATTTTTTTCTTCAACAGGAAAATATTATATTTCATCCCATTCCCTAAAAATGAGATTGAGCAAATTAGAGGGTTTAGCTTAGAATGGTGATGAATAAGAGGGATATGATAAAAGATATATAAAATAATGAATTGTCTAGAGAAGCTAGATTAGAACTTCTCTTATGCCTGTTTGATAACAAGAGGACCTTTGCTGAAATTTAAAAATGGGAAATTCAAAACCACACAAATATTTTTCCACACACTGTGTGATTAAACTGTGGAATTCATTGTCCCGGGAAGTCTTTGAAACTTAAAACTCAATTAGAATAAAAAAGGGATTTGATAGTTATATGAATATCAAGAATATCTAGATATCATAATGAACTGCAATAATTTTCCAAGCATTATTAAACCTTGAGCTTTAGGGCTTAACTTAATATTTAATAATTAGAGACCTAGGTGAGACCTAATGTGTGTTTGGGGAAAGGGGAAATGGTGGCAGATCTATTTGGACAAGATTCTTCCCTCCTCCTGTGAGCATCTGCTGCTGGCCTCTGCCAAAGACAGTATACTAGACTTGTAAACTCTCTGTATTTGTAAAGTGAATAACACACTTGGGCCTACATCCCTGACTGGGTCTCGTAAGCAGCATGATAATACAAATAAACAAATAAATAATAATCAGTGGATCTTGAATCTGATCCAGGATGACATTTCTTATGTTTCTAAATGTGCAACTAATTCACTGAACATAATAAAGAACTAATTCTGCCTCAAGTGAATGTAAATATTGCTAAAGCCTCATTATACGTGACTGTTAATGTTTAGAATTATATAACCAATAAAACATTTGTTCACATTATTTTTAGCTAAAAATGGCACACTTTGCCTGAGGGTTATCCAAAGTTCCTCAGTACTATGAAGCATAAAGTAATTCTCCTTGTTAAATATCATTCAATTTTAGAACAAAATTGTGACTTCCTTCAAATAATGCCAAAATTAGCAGAGTAAAATACTTATCTAAAGTCCTAGTTACACATTCATTACTTAGATCACATACCTCCCACCCCCACATGTATATTTTTCAAGGTTTCTATTTACTACTTAAACCTCTCCAAAATGTTTTGGAGCCATACATTCCCTCTATCTCTTTGGTTCCAAATTATTTCTATGAATAATTCATCAAACAATCTGCACAGAGACTCTGTGGTACTATAAAAGTCATTTCTGATTCTGTTCTTCCATGGGCTTTGTAAAACTGTTGTTGCCAGTAGAAAATGATGGAAAGGAATACCTAGAAGCATTTATTTTATGAACACAACAGCACTAGACTTAACATCTGCTGCTCAGCTCAGAGAGTCTAAAATGGGATAACTATTACTGCAAGCAGATATTAAAATTATCCAGCAGATGACTTCAGAGCTGTCAAATGAACATGTTCCATAAGTGAAATGAATGTATGCTATAATTTAAGAATAAGTTAACATCCTGAGTTGACTACACAACTGGGTACATTTTCATTTAAGAATCTCTGAGATTTCACAATGCTCTAAAACTATTAGAAACATGCATCTTTTCAACAACATGAAGACTCCAAAGGCTTCCTTATGAGAGATAAAAGATTAAAGGAAATACTATACCAGTTGAATCAAAGTCTGGAAAATAGTCTGGACAATTCTGAGCAGTCACTCTTCCAGCAGGTGTGTCATCCCAGCACAACCATCCATCCCAAGTTCGGTTACAGAACAGACCTAGCCATTTAGGAAGAATGTGACAATTAATTAAAAAAAGTAAGATCCCACTCTGTTCTACTCCCCCCAGTTAAAAGGCTGTCCACTTGTTGCACAGTACAGAGTTCTTCATGTGGCAAAATAAAATTCCAGCTACACTTTAAAGTGCATTCAGATGCAAGTTTTAATCTCTGACTGGTTTTGCTGACCTGTTGCTGGTGGTATCCTCCTTGCTGAAAAATGATTGTTTTTACACCAGTTGAAAAGAACTTTCAGTATAGGATCTGATCCTGAAAAACCTAAAGTCCCAATTTAGCAGTCCATTCATATTCAGCAAAGCACTTAAGCACATGCTAAAATACTTGGCTGATTTGGGGATTTTGTCCCGTGGGTAGTATACCTTCAGTTTGTTAGCGCCTTTGAAAAAATCAAGCTCCGGTTGTGTAAATCTTGAAACTTAAACATTTAGAGGCATGCCCAGCTAAATTCACTTTTGAATATGCAGGTTTCTATATTAAATGTTAATGGCTAAATTGTGGCTTTTAAGTCACAGTCTATGATTAGAGCTTTACCCAGTAATAGCCCACGATTTCAGGTTTTAACCAATAGATGTCATTACAAACTCCAATCCAAAAAAACAAACAGTAAATGAAATTGGTACTTAACAAATAAATACGCCTCCCCACCAGAAATGGTATTTAAAGGCTTGTCTACATGGGGCTCAATGTGGACTACTATGGTGTGATTTCTATAGCACATTAATGCATGGTGCATGAATTGGTCCATGTAGACCCTGCAGGTACACACTAAAGATTCCCCAGTGCACTGTAGCACAGTGCTATTTGAAACAAAATAACTTTAAAGCGTACTAGGAACAAAAAGAGAGATTATTCATAGCAGCATAGTTGTGAACCACGCTTCCCTCCCCCCCCCACACACACACAATTTTTTTTTACCATAGTAGATATTTAATTCAGTAGATCTGTTGTCTAAAAATGGATGTTTCAAATTTAATTTCTCAGCTGAAATTTACTGTGATTTTTTTCTTTTTAGGACCACTTGTTTTCTCATTATGTAAGAATCCACGTGTGTTTATTTTTTTCCATTATCAACACAGATGCGCTAAACTACTTGTTCAGGTTATTAACAAACCATGATATATTACTTCTGTGTGGAACAGAATTGCATACCCTCCAAATAGTTATGTTTTGACTGCCCTTTTCCAGGGATCTGAGATATATTTTCATGAGTTTAAGGAATTCGTTGGTAAAAGCAAAAGCAGAGAAAAATAGCAGAAGCAAAGCATTTCTGAAAGACATTGCTGTCTAGACTGTATAGGAAGCTTTGATTTTAATTTTAAAAACATTTGCTATGTCTTGATATGGAAAAAAATTATTTTTCAATATACCATACAGCCTTTCCTTCAAGGAAAATAACAAGACAATTTTTCTCCACTGGACATATCGGATATGCACATCTAAGTGATAACACAGAAAAGTGACAACTTGAAGAGAATAATCAATTATAACTGGCCCAGGAATAATACAAGTTCGAAGATGAAGGGGAGAAAAATCTTCTCTCAAAATTACTTAGATTGAGATACTGTGCTGCAATTTGAAGGCAGACTGTGGTGGCTTGAAGTCACTTGCATGTCCTCCAGCCCTGTGCTTCTTCAAGGGCTAGAGAGGCTCCAGAAATAAACAGCCTTGGGGATCTAAGTTATGGCCCTCCCTCTGGGTTGCCCCATAGGCTGCAGTAATGCATGGAATTACCACAGATTTGCATGCCAAAGCTCTGCTCCTGACACAGCTGCTAAACCAAAGGAGAGAGTCTCATAGCTAACTTCTGCAACTCCTGCACCAGGGCAATCTGCTGGCTAGGTATTTAGAGCCACTTTATGGTGCTTCATACCCCTGTTTTCTTTGTAGAATCAAATTGAAAAAAATCAGTTCATTTATGATATCATCTCAGTTTATTCTCACCATCTTGATAAGGACTAAAAAAAGACGTATCCTATATCAAACCCAGCTATGTTGAAATGACAACTTTAGTCTAGTTTGTCAGTCAGCAGAACACAGGAATTGCCACACTACTCTAGACCAGCATCCATCTATTTTACCCTGTCCGTAGTGGAGCTGCGGCAGAAGAAATTGCAAGAAATCCTGCAGTGGAAATTAGTCTCTGATCCTGCAAACCCTTAAGCATGTGTGTACTTCTACCTACTCACACAAGTGCCACTGAAGCCAATGGTACTTTTTACATGGGTGAATCTACACAGGCTTGCAGACCCAGGGCCTAAAAGAATAAGCTGCTCATAGAGGCTGTTTTCCCCTAATGCCCAGCAATTAGAGGTCTGCTTATACCCTGACACATAGGGGCTTATATCTCTTATATCTTATATCTTAAATGACTGGTTTTATCCTATCGAACATAGCTATGGATGTCCATGTTATTGACATGAACCATATGCCCATTGAAGTTGAGGGGAGCCTTTCCAATTACTTCAAAACACTTTAAATCAGACTTCAAACACCTACATATCTAAAATCATTTTTTGAATCTCACAGCGCTTAGTAATATTCTGTGGGCGTAATAACATTTTGTGGCAATAAGTCCCATAGGTGACACTGGTGCTTTTTTTCTGACAGTACGGTCCAGAACAGCATACCGTCAACTATTTTCCCAGCCCACAGAAAGGGAATGGGATTTCCCCCATGCGTACTGGCACCTGCTTTCCTGGGGCAGCTCGGCTTCTGACAGAAGCCTGCTCGGGACGCGCAGCATTTTTTCTTTCAGTTCCCAGCGTAGTGCGACCGAATTTTGGGGTTTTTTGCTTGGTTTAAGAAGTTTTCCTTTTTTTTTTCCTCAACAAATTTGCCCCTGAGTACCAGCACCTTTTTTCTTACAAAAAAAGCACTGAGTGCACACCTCTGGTGTATAACTAGCTTCTTTAATCCACAACAGATGTCATAAATTGGGCAGGTTTCAGTTTCATCAAATTTCTTTTTGTTCTTATATTATGACAATAACATATCCAATTTCCCTTCTCTATACTATTTGTTATTTCCAAAACCTAATGTCCTCTTTGTCTTCACTCTGTACAGTCCCATATGTTTAAGTTTTTCCTCACATAAAATCTCCTAATGCTGCAATCATTTTGTCATCCTTCTCTAACTTATTTTTATTTCTGCTATATCCTTTTTGAGATAAGAGTGATCAAAACTGAACTGAGTATTCCTGGTGAGGATGCCCCTTGTTTACCAGCATTATGTGACCGGTATTATTTTCTATTCCATTTCTTATACATCCCAATATTTTGTTTGTTCTTTTGATCACTACTCCACAGGACCAGCCCTAGGAGTTTTGTGGCCCAGAATGGAAAATGTGCCCAACCTTCTCCCAAAAGCCCCCAAAATAAAACCAAATTAAAAAAAACCCAACAACTCCTCCCTACTTTGCCCATGATTTGGTGACCCTGAAAGTTGGCAGTCAGGGAGACTGCCCACATTACCCACCAACAACCCTGGCCCGGTCAGTTTGTCAGAGATGTTAGCAGAGGTTTCATTGAGCTGTTCATGATAATACCTATGACCAGAAAGTTACATTTAACTTAGAACACAGAACATTTAGAATACCTATGTTCATTTAGAAACTAGATCAGGCCAGGAAACGAATTATGAAAAATGAATTAGCTGGTTGAAGCAAACAGAATGATTTCTATATTGAAGAAACTGCTGTTCACTGCTATTTGTATTGCTATTTTCTCTCTTTAAAGTATCGGTGAAGCTTTGAGACTTGTGAAGATGCTGGACTGACAGCCCTAAAGACTGATATTCCCAAAGCATGAAAAACAGTAATTCAAGCTTCATCATATTGTCAATTTAGTGTACTTCAACTGTGCCAGGGAAGAATGATCTCTAAGGGTGAGAGGACAGTTCATTCTCCATGATCATTTGTAGGGCTATTCTCCATAAGGGTATGTCTACACTGCAGCTGTTTTTCCAGAAAAACTACACTTCCTTCCACATTGCAACTGCATTCTTTTGACAGAAAGTCGAAAGAATGCAGGGGTTTTTCCGACAGCAGTAAACATCTTTCTATGAGGAAGAAACCTTTTTCCGAAAGAGCTCTTTCGGAAAAAGGCATGTGTGGATGGGAAAGAGGGGTTTTTTTTCCGAAAAAAGAGGCCTCCAGGAAAAAAGCACAGGTGCCCTGGTGGCCACTCCATCCATAGTAATTACAATTTAAATGCGAGATAGCATCCAATAAATGTGAATGCTATCTTTCAAAAAAGCACATCGTTTTTTCATTGCGCTTTTGCTGGGTGGACGCTCTCTTTCAAAAGAAATTTTTCTGGAAGATCTCTTCCGGAAAACCTTCTTCCAAAAGAAGCCTGCAGTCTAGACATAGCCTCAGAGTGATAAGATGGGTGATAAAACTGGTATGACTTATTAATGCAGACAGTAAGAATATGCATAATAATACTAGTACACAGAAGGAAATGTTCCATCAAAGCTATACAGAAAACATATCAATGTGCAATTAATTTTTTTTCTCCCCTCTCCCCATCTCCCTCCCTTTCTTTTTTTTTTTTTTTACCTTTTTTCCTATATGGTGGATCTCTGTTCATTCTCTCATAGCATTTGAACTGTGAATCTATTATTTTCTGTCGTACTGATGAGTGTTCGGTTACTACATGCTCTAATGGAGGATCGGTATAATTTACAGTAGAAGTAAGACTTGCAGCCATTCTCTGCAGAAAGGAAAATCTGTTAATATAAGGGAGTAAAACCAGGAGGAGAAAATCAAAAACATGAGGTTTAGAAATTTCTATTATTCTTTATTTCAAAGGCCTTTTAGCTGCACATATGCTTAGTATTTTTCTGGAACTTTTATCTTTGTCAAACCAAATGGTAAAATTAGTAGTTTTCCTTCTCTATAAACTCAGCATTTTAACCACATTCTTTTCCTTAGACAAGGTAAAATAAAGAAGTCTTAGAAATGGTTCATGTATTTTATTGGCCTACAAGCACTTTTAAAATTCTGCTCTTCCACAAGTTTGCTGCACCCAGCTATCTTCTCTAGTCAATGTATTTTTTCCCCACTGCACCCAGCATTGCGTATCCTAGTGTCACATCTTTATATATCAGCTGAATGTTCCGTCAAGCCAATGCCATCCTAGAAATTCCCAGAAGTGTTGAAGCATATAAGGGCTTGTGTCAAAGATCCCAAATCTAAATGCCTAATGCCACGTCTTTAAATCTTTAGTTGGGCATATAAATAAAATGTACCAGATTTTCAAAAGTGCTGAGTTCCTGTATCCCTTTCCAATACAATGGGCTCTATTGTGGTATTTACTCCGCAGCCCTGTGTAAGGACAGGACAGGACAGAGTCACATTACTCAACCAGAATCATGAAAATACTATCCAAGCCAGGCAAAATCTGTTCTGTGATTGGTCAGGACTAATGGGAGTGCACACCTTGCTCCGTCTATTAAGTTATGATTGTTCACTCTATTGTACCAGACCAGCTCGGTGGGCCAGTCTAAAATGAGATAATATGGGGCTTTTGCTCCTCTCCATCCTATTCCATTCCTGATTTGTAATGTGTTCCTGATGGGAGGGAAATAGACTGAGCAGTTCCTTTGCTCCCTTTCCTTCTCTGATTCTCTATTTCTGCATAACAGCCTTCAAAATCTGGCTCATAGGGATTTGTGGGTGCTTGGGACTTTTGAAAATCAAACTTCATTTATGTAGGTTCAAACATTTTAGTCTGGAATGCAGCTAGGCACTCAGGTGTGAAAAATTAAGTGCCCAACATTTACTATTCCAAACCTAGTTTTCCTTAGAGACCAGGCATGCAAATCTGTTGGATTTAATACAAGATTCCTTTAGGCTGTACTGTTTTTCTCAAAACCCAAATGTGTGTCTGGCATTCCCACAAAGGATCCTGCAAGTATATTTCAGATGATATCTACTCCATTTATAGGTCACTCACCGAAAACCTGAGTGATTTATAGCAGCATTTACTATTTAAACAGGCATTTGTAGTTGTACATATGGAAGACATGATAATTTTCAAAGCTATTTTAATACCACCCTACTCCTCCAATATGACACTTATTCCTATTACTCAAGTAATGCAACAAACTAGTGCATTCAAATGTTTCATTTAATACTACTAGATCACTTTTATGTTACGTACAACATGGATAGTGTGTTTATAATACAGAATGCAAAGATTATATTTTATTACAATTCTTCTGTTTTAAGTTATTTCATTTTAGCCCTTTGTGCCCCCATATCTAACTGAATTTACAATCTCATCTGCTACCAACATTTTAATTTTCAGCAGCAAACAACCACCATTTGGAGTGTAAGGGGGATGAAGAGTGCGCCTTACATCATTGTACTGAAATAATTGTTTGAAACAAAAAAGATGAAAATAGGAAGAAGGGAGATAGGTTCTACTCTGTTCTTTTAAATGTAGGTACTTATACTATACCCTTCACTCAGTGAGTGAGATATGTCTGGATGGTTTTCTTTGAATACTTGGATAAAATGAATTAAGTTGTATAGAAAGAACAAACATGTAAATATACCCCAAATTGGTGAAAAAAGAAGTGAGACCTACAAAAGACCTTCTAAACCTGTATCAGCAATAACCAGAAAACAAGCATCAGTCATTAGGATGGTTCCAATTGAGATCAATGGTGTACTGATGTGACAAGATGCAGAGGCACGTAAGACAGCAATGATCGAAATGCATCAAAGAATTAGACACTTACATCAATTTTACACTAGTGCAACACCATTTAATGTAATGCTTCAAAGAGCTACTATTAAAATGTCCAATTGATACAGCAAGCCTCTCCTTGTTTTTTCTAAATGTTATTCCAGATAGCCATTAATTTCCGTTTCAGCCAACCTTAGTGTTGGAAAAAGGGGATGACTCTGATTTAATTTAATTTAATTTGATTTAATTTAGTTCCAGGGAGGGATTAACAAAACATTCAATGAGTGAGGAAGGCTACAGAGAGATGGGATGAAAGAGTGAAGGGACAGTTTCCTTTCTCTTAAACTGGTTTTCCCTGGAGAAAGGATGGTCTGACCCCGAATCCTTTTTGGTCAAACACAAACAAACCCAATTCAAAAATTAGCAATGCCAGAAGAGTGTGATCCCAAATTATACATATTGTTCCACTAAATTTTTCCTTATAACCTAAAGAACAATTCAAATATAGAATAAAAGGGAAAATACAAATCTATATGTTAGATTGCTATCTTTTTCTAATCTTTTCAAAATTATCTTTTTAAATATATAAGAGTACTGTGCATTGACAAAGGCTATATAGGACTGAAACATAATATACCTTGAAATTAAAAGCAAGAAATGCCAGCAGAAAGGAAATGCACTAAAGGTATCTTGTAGAAGGTAAGGACATAATGATTTACTATTGTAAAGCCATTTTTATAGGGGATGATAGTCTATTTGTGTCTAGGATATTTCTAAGAGAGAAGATATCTTATTCTCGAAGAGCAATTTTACATATGGCCACACAGAAAGAGACTAATTCTATTCCCAAAGAAGTTGATGGCAAAACTCTCATTGGGCATATAGTTAGAGGAGAACACCTCACTCAGAGGTTATTGGTTGTGTGTGGGGAGAAGGAAGGTAAATGAGGTAAGAACTCGCACCCAGCTTTGTTAATTTTTTTATTTAGCACTGTGTAGTTTAGCTTTACCTATGTAATCTATATAGTATTGTTTAAATTAAGCTGTCATGTAACACATGGGACTCTATCCTATAATTATTAAAAAATGTAGATGAAGTCATGGCCCCCATTGAAATCAATGGCAAAATTCTCACTGACTTCAATGGGCCCTTGATTTCATCCAGAAAAATTAAAACTGCAGAGATGACTTTTTCATGGCATTCTTCTAAATATAAACTGATTTATGGGATATAGTAAATCTTCCCTGTATTTGGATAAAAAACAGATCATCATCGTTTGATACAATAGGCCCAGATTCTCAACTGTATTTATGCTCCTAAATTCTACTGATTTCAGTGGAAGTTGGGAGCATAATTACCTTTGAGAATCTGGCCCACAGTCATAGAATCATAGAATACTAGGACTGGAAGGGACCTCGAGAGGTCATCGAGTCCAGACCCCTACCCTCATGGCAGGCCCCAGTATTCTCTAGACTATTCCTGATAGACATTTATCTAACCTACTCTTAAATATCTCCAGAGATGGAGATTCCACAACCTGCCTGGGCAATTTATTCCAGTGTTTAACCACCCTGACAGTTAGGAACTTTTTCCTAATGTCCAACCTAAACCTCCCTTGCTGCAGTTTAAGCCCATTGCTTCTTGTTCTGTCCTCAGAGGCCAAGATCTTCTCTTTTCCAAACTAAACAAGCCCAACTCTTTTAGTCTTCTTTCATAGGTCATGTTTTCTAGACCGTTAATCATTCTTGTTGTTCTTCTCTGCACTTTCTCCAATTTTTCCATAACTTATGTCAGTCACTAACATAAGCTCAGTTTTCTTCTTTTAGTGTACAGTGAGCATTTGCACACATCAGGTAGGTCTGCACAATTTATTTGTGCATGCATACATTGGAAAATATGACTAATTTTTGTAGTATGAACAGTATTCTCTCTCTCTTTCTTTAAATCAGGTTAAAATTCGGGCAACATAATCTGAGGATGAACTATGAACTATACATATTTGGAAAATTAGTCTCATCTACTCGTATATAGGAGTGCATTGAGGAACAAAGCTTCCTTCTGGGCCTCACAGGAAAGAACCACCAACCACCCCCTGGTGGGCAGAGCCATGCCAGCCACACCTGCCCCTTCAGAAACAGGGGTGGGACAGGAAGTACAAAATTGGTCGCTACAGCTCAGTTGGGCTGGAGCCGTTGAAGGAGATAGACACTACTGCTGGGCTTGAGCCCAATAGGGACCCTTTGAGTCTTCCATACTGTAAAGAACTGCCAGAGCTGCTAGCTGAGTGGGGTGCTGATGAGCTGTTTGGACTGCTGCTACCTATGTACCCTGAGGAGACAAAGGATATACATAAAGTGAAGGTGCCCAACAAGGGGTTCATTGGAAATAGCCCAGGAACACCAGACAATAGTCCAGTTGTAGTGCCAGAGTGCTGGTTAATGTATAATGCTGGGATTCCTGCCATCCCAGTGGTGGAGCACTCCACCACTGTTAAGGGCTGGCTGGAACCCAATGAATTAGGGTGATCCTGGGTCCTTCTAAGCCTTGCTGCCAACCTCACCCCTGAGGTGGCTGCCTACTGTCCTTAGGCCAAGAGGCCTATGCTTGTCTGCATCTTCCTGAGTTAGGACAAAAGGCAGAAGTCTCAGATATACAAATAGGCTCCACATATAGGTAAAATTGGCTCCTCTCCTACCCTTCGATTAACTTTAGTGGACACTGGATCAGACCATTAGCTCCTTTGAGAAATTATCAAGAAATGTTGATATAATCTAAATTTGGAAATTTACATTTGGAGGGTTGTAACTGGGTACTTTGGAATTAACCTTAGGATACTTTCCCCCCTAACTTCGGTTATGTCATAAAAGATATTTAACAAGACTAAATTATCTTTTATTCAGTAAATATCTGCAATACTGTGTAAATTTATATTTTCCAGAAATGCACTACTATGTATTGAAAAAACTTCCCATCCATCAATAATTTGAGATGGAAGTACAAATGGTATTGATATGTACAGTAAAGTAAAATACCTTGTGCATTACAAATAGTTTTTTATTAAAGAAAAATAAATAATTCACAGCTTCATAATTAAAACATTAGGTATATCATGTAAGTAATCGGCATTATTTCTTCTGAAGAAAACTGCTTATGTGATGTCTCATGCAGCAGTTTAGCAGCCGTACATATGATGTCACTCCTAAAAGTCCAAGTAAATGACGTCATGCATACGACCACCAAGCCACCACGCAATAAAGGACTAAGAAGATGAATTATCATTATGAGTAGAGTGCTGGGAATATTGATGATCTCTTTATACTTAGAATTGATAATACACTCCAGATGAAAGCAGTTTGCATGAATTATTTGTCCAATTTTACAGTGAATTCTTAAATATTCTACAGGTAAATCCATCTGTCTTGTCAATGTAAGATTTTCCAACACAGATTCCAGATAGAGGAAACATAAAATATCGTTGTTTCAGAAAATGCTTCATGAATGAACACGTTTCCAAAAAGACTCCTGTTTCATCATTAGTAATGAGAAAAACATAAAAAATGTTGCGTAAGTTATAGACTCAGTGTGATATTTAGGATCATTCAGGATATACTGAATTTCTTTCTTTCTTTCCATCTGTCTTTTTTTCTAAACAAAGTACAGTAAACTGGCAAACTGTAATATTGAACCTAGAAAAATATATTATGGTTTGTGGCCAAGTCAATAATTTATTATTTCTGGTAGATGAAAAATACCCTTTACGTTCTTATTTAAATTGCCATATACAGTCACTGGTGTATGGATCACCAAATTCCTATCCTTTGCTATATCCAATCTTTCATGAGTGGAAACTCAGTGGGAACTCATCTCATCTCATCTCAACATGGATTGCACAGACCCTCCAGAACCTTGAATCTGATCCCACATTTCTTCATGACTATTAATAGCAGGGTACAGACAGAATCCATTGAACATGCTTTAGGAAGGCAATTAATACATTGTACTCTCAATGTTATAGAACTTTATAATAAGTATTATTCTGATTTTGAATTTTTTTTAACATGAATGGAAGATGTTTAAAATATTTCATGTGAGTTCTCCACATTTCTACACTGAACATTCAAATCTTTATTTAGCTAGAACTAAAGCAGTATAGAAGCTAGCTTTTATACTGCGATCCTATGATCACTAATGTTGGCAGGTCTTTAAACAAGTATGAGACCAACTCTAGCCGTGTAGAGACACCAGAATTTTAGTGAAAAGCATTTTTACTTTTCATTAATATTCAGTATTCGTACTACTTGTGTAAGTCAGTCCTGCAAGCCTTACTCACATGGAGAATCCTTACATGAATAGTCCAATGGAATCCATGGGCTTTCAGGAAGACTATATTTGGCTTTTTGTCACAACAAGCTTCTTTAGCCCAATCAACTGCACAATGAGATTATTTTAACTTATAAATTTTAAAAGCAGAGACTGAGCCAAAATTCTGGAGCATCCCTTAATTTGAGACTGTACCTTTTTGGGTATAGGCAGATTTTTGTTTAATACGTAACACTTTGTTTATACTACAGTTAGAAAATAAGCATGTTCAGAAACACTCTCACCAAATCTGAACTATAAACCATTTATTTGCCTTTAAGAGGGATACTTGTATGAGTGAGGCTTATATATTCAAGTTGCTTACAACTGGCTGGCAATATGTAGCAGCAAGGTGGAATATTCACTTTAAAGCTATCTTTTTCAAAGGCAATAGCACAGATAATCAGATCCTGCTCATTCAGAATAGGTCTTAGGGGAAAAAGTAAGTAGCAAAGAGATTTAAAGCGATGATTCATTCCTTATTGCATTTATTACGAGAAGCTTTCACATGTAATATATGAGGCAGCCCAGTGAGATCCATTTTCTTCTGAATATGTTGGCTGGTAGTAGAATTCTGTCTTATACTTTTCTGAGGAATCAGCAAAGTTATACTCAGTATCCAGAATATGTTCAACAGATTCCTCTATATTTTAAAGCAAGGATTAAAATCAAGAGTGGAATCTTTTGTCTTTTTTCAATAAAGTTAATTAATAGTACAAATTGCTTTAGACTTTAAGAACTATATAGTACCAGCGAAACTGGAAAATCTCTCTCAACAGAAAATAATCTGGAAAGATATATAATTAAAAAGATATATAACTTCAGACTCAATTGATTTCTAACTGCAGCTTAAATAAGGTGAAGTAGCTTTTAAAAGTTAAAATACAGATTTTTATATTTTGTCTATGTTTAAAATTGCTGATCCAAAGGTTATTGTATTGTTCCAAAATTGTAAGTTTTCTGTCTCATAGGTATTTTACGGATAGTAAAATATGGACATGAAAAGGCACATGTACTATCCTCTCCTTACCCTTTCCTCTCTGTATCATCAAAAACCACTGATCTTAAGGCATACTATATTTCTAAGGCTATGTCTAGACTGCAAGCCTCTTTCGAAAGAGAGCGTCTAGACTGCACGTTGAACTTTCGAAAAAGCAGCTTGCTTTTTCGAAAGAAAGCATCCAGTGAGTCTGGATGCTCTCTTTCGAAGAAGCCCTATTTACATTGAAGAACGCCTTCTTTCGAAAGAGGAACTTTCGAAAGAAGGCGTTCTTCCTCGTGAAATGAGGTTTACCGCCATCGAAAGAAAAGCCGCGTTCTTTCGATTTAATTTCGAAAGAACGCGGCTGCAGTCTAGACGCAGGTGAGGTTTTTTCGAAAAAAGGCTACTTTTTTCGAAAAAACCCCTGAGTCTGGACACAGCCTAAGAGATCTCCTCTTTCAGTAGTTTTTTTATTCTTATGTTAAGATTTTATCAACAGGATACATATTTCTTGTCCTTTGTGCACAACAGTAATAGTATAGACTTGAATTAGATTTCAGAACATTTCAATGTCATAAGTAGTTCATTTTCTTTTACTTACAATTAGAAGAATCATCAGTAAGAAACAACTGTGGGTTGAGTTTTCCATTGTGGATTCTTTCTTAGGTGATATGTTTCTGCTGACCCTTCTGGGAATTAAACAACAACAACAAAAACAAATATATTAGACTTTATTTATTTATGCCCAGTTGTAACCATTCTCCCTCCATGTGGTATCCTGTTAGAAAAGTGTTTTTACAATTTTTGCACATGTGTGTTTATGATTGTACTGAATATACTAAGAAGGACTGTGTGTTTTCATTTTTGTCTATCTGGAAGAATTTCTTTTTTATCCTTTGCATTTTTAAAACCTTAGTTTTTATGAAATTATGTCATTAAATGTACATTACAATTTGGAGGAAAACATTGAGTCAATGTCAGAACATCCTGTTTAGACAGTTTCAGAATGAAACTTTCCAATCTTATGTTTCCAAATGATTTGTAATTTAGAATTTTAAAATTTAGTTTATTATAATAGAAAACAAAAATGTCAACATGAAAATTGTTTTGATTTTGTCAGAATGAAATGTTTTGATTGATTGGAAACAAATCCCCCCCCCCCCCCCCCAACTTTTCTTTGTGGAGGATTTTCAAATTTTCATTTCATTCAAATTCAAATCAAAATCAAAATTTGAAATCTCATAATCCTTCATGAAACAGAATATCAGCTCTCAGCACAACACTTTCCCGGAGATGGCTGAGAGAAACATAATCAGAAGAGGCATTTGGCCAGTAAGATTTTCCCTGTAAGCCAGCCAAAGCCAGTTGGACTATTTGGGTATGTCTACACTGCATTCCTCTTTCGAGAGAAGAATGCAAATGCAGCCGAGCAAAATTGCAAATGAAGCACGGATTTGAATTTCCCGCGCTTCGTTTACATAATGAAGTCTGGGCGCTTTTTCGAAATACCCTATTTCAGAAGAAAAAACTCGGTCTAGTTGGGGTTATTTTGAGAAAAAAACCATCTTTTTAAATAACCCTTACTCCTTAAAAAATGAGGTTTAAGGGTTATTTCGAAAGAATGGCACCCAGTCGCCATTAAGCAAATGAAGCACGGTAAATTCAAATCTGCGCTTCATTTGCAATTTCACTCGGCTGCATTTGCATTCCTCTCTCGAAAGAGGAATGCAGTGTAGACATACTCTTTGAGCGCCTTCACAACACCATTGTTCAATAAAAAGTAACAATACTTAATAAAATATCAATAGACAAGTTTCTTTCAAATGCTGCTGGAAACTTTATATATACAGAACTGTATATATGCAGTACCATAGATAACCTTCAGACATTATAGGAACATGACCAGGCAATCATGCCTGTATTGTTCCGATACCTTAGAATTAAAGGCCAAGATTTGCTCAGCTGAAGTCTCTGAACATGTTCCTGCCAAGTTCCACATATGTGGAAATTCCATTGTCAACAATATAGTTCTGAGGGCAAAAGGCATACAGAATTTGGCCTGTTATTGATTTTATAGCTAGTGAGCTCATACAACCACTCACACACATACAACAGGGCATCAGCACTGTAACTAAGCCATTCATTCCCAAGCACTTCGGCATGAAATATATTATCCAACTCGCTACCCACTAGCACCACGTGGCTATTTGGCCAGTTGAGTGTGGCTAGTTCCAGCTTCAGAACTGGCTGGACGTCATGGTCTTAAAGGGTGAAGGAACACAAATGGATAATTTCTAATCTAAGGAAGAAGGGGCACAGGTTTATTACCAGGTTGCAGCGGGTAACTGCCACCTATATTGCCCTTGTGTAGCAATCAGAGACGTTAATATAATGACACAGATGGTTTAAAAAGTTTTTCGAACACAAATGGCCTGAATCTTCCCTGCCTTGCCTCTTATTCTGTGATTTACAACTATGCCAGGTGTTCTCAAATTGTGGTCAGGACCCCAAAGTAGATCACAAACCCTTAAATGGGCTTGTCAGGGATAGTGTAAGACTTCCTGGCGCTCACAGCCAAAGCCCAAGCCCCAGCACCTGGGGCCAAAGCTGAAGCTTGAGGGCTTCAGTTCTAGGTTCCATGCTCAGGTTAGCACATGGGGTTTTTGAGCTTGAGCAGGGTCAGGCTTCAGTCCTTTCTCCCTCCTCCCTCCCCCTGGTGCAATGAAGTTTGAGAACGCCTGATCTATGCCAAGTAAATGGAAAGTGGGCACAAATTGCTACCAAAACAAAATGGGGTATGTTTACATAGCAGCGTTATTTAAGAATAACTGATCTTGTTCGGTGTTCCCTCTAAGCTACATGGCAGCACAGCTTCACAGGTGATTAATCAGCCCCACCCAGTCAGAGGCTCAAGGCTCTGTGCACAGAGCTGACTGACTGGGCAGGGCTGATTAATCACCTGTGAAGCTGTGCTAGCATACTTTAGAGGGAATACTGATGTAAATCCGAACTAACATAGTCCACGTCTATGCTACAAGCAATTATTTTGACATAATATCGAAATAATGTCAAGCTGGAGGACTTCTTACTCTGACTCCTGTAACCCTCATTTTACAAGAGTAAGGGAAGCTGGAGAAAGAGTGCTCTTCCTTGAACTTCCTGCTGCGTAGACAGCGCCAAATGCCAAAAGAAGCTTTTTTAAAGCTATTTCGACTTAAGCTATGCAATTGAAGTAGCTGAAGTTGTGTAGCTTATTTTGGCTTTAGGCCTGCTGTGTAGACGTGCTTTGGGAATATTTTATCTCTACGCTTTGCTCAGATGTGAATGATTACTCAAGGTAAAAAGCAATGAAAATGAGGCCCAAAGATAGCAGATATGCATCTGATGAGATGTAGTCCCTGTATGAACCTGAGTAGTATAGAGGGGGAAACCTTATTATTGATGTAAAAATGGTTATCAATAAAATTATTGTAATGTATTTTATAGAGTTAGATAAGTACAACTTGTCTGTCCTTTTACTGAATTTCCAGATATATCTATAATTATTTTTATACCCATCATGTTTGGACAGCATAATTACATAGCTCTCTTATGAAGTCAGGCTATTTAAAGCAGAACCAGTTGGCTTCCACTTTGGCTACGTCTAGACTGCAGGCTTTTTTCGGAAGAAGCTTTTCCGGAACAGATCTTCTGGAAAACCTTTTTTCGAAAGAGAGCATCTACGCAGCAAAAGCGCAATGAAAAAGTGATCCGCTTTTTTGAAAGATAGTGTCCTGCATTTCAGTTGTGATTATTGTGAATGGAGTGGCCACCAGGGCATCTGTGCTTTTTCCTGGATACCTCTTCTTTCAAATAAAACCCTCTCTGCCACACACACCTTTTTCCAAAAAATCTTTTTTGGATAAAGGCTTCTTCTCATAGAAAGGTTTACCACTATCAGAAAAGCCTCTCTGTTCTTTTGACTCCTCTGTTGAAAGAACGCAATAGCAGTGTGGACGTATGTGTAGTTTTTCTGGAAAAACTCTGCAGTGTAGACATACCCTTTCTGTCAAATAATAAGAGGCTCCTAAAGAGTCAAATAACATGCTCAGACATAGAACACTAGTGGGTTTATACAAGGTCTATAATGCAGTTTTTATAACTTCTTCCAGGTTATTATATATCTATATAGATATCTATAAATAATATATTTGGTTATTCTATTTGTACAGAACATATAGTAAGGTGTCTTTAGTTCCAAGTAGTAAATATACTCCAGATGACAGGTTGTAAATCCAAAGCCCATTTTGGTGAAAAGAGCATAAAGAGCTTTATCCAAGAATGCAGAACCATTGCTTAAAGAACATCCTTACCAAACTCAGGAATGCAAGAACCTCCTCTCTTGAGATGGTGAAGATAAGGCAATGCCATCTGAAGTGGCTATTTAAATACCCTTTACAATTTAAGACATTTAAAAAAACTGCTTTCAGAACTGAAAGTTTTTATTGCTGACATAAGAATTCTTGGACCTACATGAAGAAATATTTCAACTCATACTAAACCCCAAGGAAGCTAAAGGGACATCAAAAATGGGCTGAGTTAAAGTTAAAGTTAAAACTCTCCCTCTAAAAATGTTCTCGGCCGTTCCCACCAGTAAGACAAAGGCAGGATAACAAGCAAGTTGAGGAAAAATTACAACTCTATTGCACATGCATTAACAGACACTACATTCCTGAACTGAAAACAGTAGGGCGTTATTTCGAAATAACTCTGCCCCCCCCCGATACGTTGAATTTATAAGCTGAGCATCCACACTACCGAAAGCCCGTTATTTCGAAATAATGGGATGCTTATTTCAAAATCTGTACTCCTGCTCCTTGGGGAATAATGCTAATTTCAAAATAGTTATTTCTGAATAGCTGTAGTGTGGACGCTATTTCAAAATAACTACTCCCCAGAATAATTTGAACTAATTACGCCCCAGTGCTTCCTGGAGCTCTGAGTAAAGGTAGTGTGTCCATGTTAATGGAACCTGCCTCAGACTAATTTAGAACCTTCTCCATAGTGGGGAACGCTATTTCGATTTTGTAAAATCAAGAGTTATTAAGTCAAATTTAGTTATTTTGAAATAATTTCCTAGTGTAGACATGCCCAAAGAGAGACAATTATTAGGGTTTGGCCTCCCACTTATTGTTTCTCTATACTATAAATCATAGTAGTTTTTGAGATAAAATGACTTGGTGTTCAACATCTTGAAAATCTTCCCTTTTTATCTCACAGCAGGGACAGGCTGGTTTGTATTGCTGTGCTCAAGGGGTGACATGTTGTGTGATAACCACAGAAATAGTCTGCAGTCACAGTC